AGGACCATACAGATTTAGTACTTATTTAAAATTGTATATCAGTTAAACATAAAAATGTTTTAAATATATATTACTTGAATATATAGTCTACTATATAGGCCTTGCTTATTTTACAATATATCATAGCAGAAAAGAATATTAATAGAGCGTTTTTAAGTTTGCATTACATATAATTATTTTAAGTACAATTAGACTTTCTCCCAACTTTTCACTGTAAAACTGAAAACTTAATGCATGACTGCAGGACATTACACAGGAGGCAGAATTGTTGACTTAAAGTTATATGAAAATTTCTGTAGAAAAATGTCTTCATGAAGTTGTTCCAACAGCTAAAAAGCTCATTAATATCTTTGCCAATGTGGAGTTTTATCAATCACAAAATATTACTAATACAACACTGGTATCGTACTGTTTTAACCCTGGTGGAGTTGAGTATGTTTTGATATGTTTATTCTTCTGTGTATTTCTTTTGTGTATCTTCTGCCCATTTTTTTCCTTGTGAAATTAGTTTTATTTATTTCAAGGCAGTCTTTATTTATTAGAGATATAAGCAATTCTATATATCACTTTTCCCCCCCCAATATGTTACTGTGACTAAGCATTTGACATCTATAAAGGTCTTTTTTTGTCACTCTTGTTTGTGTTCAACCATTAGTTGTTGTCACTTATGATTTGTCCTTTTGGCTAGTCTAGTTCCTGTTGTACTTATATCATTACTAAAATAAAAAATACTAATGGATATGGAATATTTGATGAGGGCTTAGAATTTCAATTCAGCTAGAAGTTGATGAAAACTCCTCACCTAATGTGTCTGGAAGATCTTGTACTTGTTTCCTATGTATCCCAACTTTTCATGAAGTAAATTTTCCCTCTAAACTTTGAATAATTGCTGTCTGTGTATCCAAGTGACATATCGACAATAAAATATCAACTGATGAAATACAAAAAAATGCAGCTTAGACATTTGGATGCTCGATTAATCAAATATTTTCCTGGCATAATGGATGGACAGCTTCTCAGTATTTGAAATATTTATATGACACTCCAAACTAGCATCTGGCTAAGGAAAACTTTCTATACTTTTTTTTTTCATATTGTAAAAGCAAACAAAAACCATAAAGAGGTTTGATTAATTTATATGGAAAGGCCAGGGGCTGAACTATAGTTAAAAATAACACAATGCTGAGGGAAGAAAAGAGCCTGGAAATGTCATATTTTTTTTAGGAAAACATTGGAATTGCTAACTCTTGCAAATTTATACAAGTGGGAGAAACAAATGCTTAATATTTTTAAAAGAGTGAATTCCTACATCAATCCTACCATTCCTACTCAAATATACTGTTCAGTCTTTACTTAATGTTTTCCCTTTATTCAGATTAAATTGACAGTTTTTTCCTTGCTCCTAAAGTAACTTAAATATATTTTATGACTTATCTATATTCTTTGATAAGTATCAGAATTCTGGTTTGAGGCAATCATTGAACCCAGGAAATTTAAAAACATCATTTCTTTTTTTACATCATTAGAGAAAACTTGTAGAAGTATGTCCTTAAATTTATTCTTACATATTATGCTACAGAGAATGAGAGTGTATCATCTATATTGGGCAATGACTGTGTACTTTATAATGTTAATTATCTTCAGAAATAAATTTTTATGTTTTCATTGGTAAAAAACTGTCTGGAAAAACTATACACATATGCTTATATCACATTCTTTGCTCTTAAATAATCATAGAACAAGGATTTTTGTATTAGCTGAATATTAAGTTTTAAAATTAGATACGGGAAATTCTGTTGCTTTAAATTTTCACTTTATATCTTGTGCTCTTGGCAAGTTATAATTCAGGAAGATAGCAAAATCAATCTTTGTATGTAAAAGGAAAATATCTGACAGCCATGATAATCAGCATTTATGTAAACTGAAAATTTTCAACATTTATGAAGATTTAAGAAATGGAGAAAGTGTTACAACTATTTACACTGTAAAGCCTCCTGACACCACCTTGAAGAGTAGATTTTGTTTCTTTTTATCTCAGAAAATAGTTTCAAAATTTAAAAAAGAATTTACATTATAACAGGTAAATTTTTTTAAAAAGATTTATTTATATATACAATAACTGGGTTATAGGCCAGAGGGGCTGGATAAGGGGTGAGAGGACTCACCAGAGACAGAATGGGGAGAACTGGCAGATCTACAGAAATACACTGTTGAGGGGAGCAGCAGGCAGGACAGGAGAGGTCTGCAGTGCCATGTGGGTCAGCTCCCTGGCTGGGGATCAAATTTGTGCTGCAGTGGCTACTGATAGCTCCATAGTGCCGTGTTTTAACCCACTGCACCACCAGGGAGGGCCAATTATAATAGGTAAATTAACTCAACATATAGGGTGAGATAGAACAGTTTCTTAAATTTGCAAGACACAATAACTCTATTGATAGTTATATCTGTCTTAGTATACATCTATTTGACTCCCAGCTCTTCTACACTGGTCACCTGTTGCTATTTTCTGGGGTTGGCTTACATGGACAGTAAGCAAGAACGACACTCAGTTGGCCCTCTCCATAAAATACTGCTGCCATAAGCGTTCACAAGGATTCTGCAGGAATCCTTGATAAGCTTTTCTTTGATAATGATTATACTTTACCTTTTAGGCACAAGTGACATGTTAGTGTCATTCAATAATAAAAGTAATAATGTGCCATAATGTTCTATTACAGTGGGCTAGTCTTCCTAATAATTCTAAATTTAATCTCACTTCTCTTCTTTAAAAAACAAAATATTTGTATGGAAGTGGAGAGAACAGAAGTCATTGTTTTATAGTACTTCATGAATAAAAAGTTAGACTTAACATAATATACCTTGTTCATGAAACATATAGTTACTGGCCATACAAACAGAGTACTAACTAGTTAACTAATTAACTGAAAAGCTAAAATTCAACCAATCTTTCTTTCTCTTTGTACAAAAAGGGTTTTATTTGAAGAAAAATATCAACTCTGGCACACAATAAAGGGTAATCTTGTGTGGCATCAGCATCAAATTAAACAGGACTAGCTTATAGTAGCTGATTCAGTATTTTATGGAGATGTTAATTTTGGAGAGAGTAAAGGCCTCATTGTGGGCTAACTAGGGTGATGTAGTGGGTGTATGCTTAAAACCTCTACTATCAATATATGGTCCAGTGTGATTTAATTATATGAATATTCTATTTGTCTACATGAGTTTTGAAGAGTAAACATGATTGTCTTTTCCCTCAATGTAAAACAAAGCTAACCAGGGCCATCTAGGGAAGAGAGAGGATCTAACAGGACCTGTTCAGTTACTTCTGGGGAAAAAAAAAAATCAGTTGTCAGTCAAAGACTTGTCTATCCTAGTTTTGAAGATTGGTTAGGTAGCTGATTTTTCTCTCCCTTCTGTCCTTGGAGAAAATGAAAAATAACAGGTCTTCTACTACTTCAGACTAACCATTCATATACTTGATGACAGTTAGGTCTCCCCTGAGCCATCTCTTCTCCAGGACAAATTATGCTAACTCCTTCAGTCTGTCCTCGGAGGTCCTATTTTTCAAACACTAAAACAGCGTATTGTCTTTTTTTTTTTTTTGCCATGCACCTTTTCCTGTTTCTTCCAAGTCCTTTAAAAATATAAAGTCTTAAATTTGATGTTTTTGTATGTACTTAGAGAAGTTAGAATTACAGGAGGATGTTTACTCCCAATTATAAGTTAGAGCAATGGTTACTAAACACTTGTCATTATTTGGAAAGAAGACACTGTCAATTGGATGAGAGGGATAAAAAGCAGAAGAAGCCAGGTAAGCCGTTACACCAGTTCAACTGCAACTTCAAGATAGAAATAGTAAAAACTATGCTTCTAGATGGTCATGAGGTTTCTTGATCAGAAATAGTAAAAACTATGCTTCTAGATGGTCATGAGGTTTCTTAAGTGCTTTGGGAAGGTACAACACATTGTGATTACCATAAACACAAACACACAGAACTGCTTTAAAAAAAAAAAAAGCCCAAAACTTAATTACCTGATACTTCTCTCACTGTTTGTAATTCCACAAAGGACTGATGGGTGAGCTAATGTAATGTCAAAAGCAGAACAGACCATGCGTAACCAAGGGGCGAGCACTGAGCACTTGAGGAACTAGAGCTTCATTGAGAGTTAGAATAACCTCAGCTTAGTTAGGAGTTAGAACCACCTTTTTCAAGCACTTTTTTATTTAATGCACTTGTTAGCTGGGACTCAGCGAGGCGTCCTTGATTGGTGGGGCATGGCCACTAGGGGGCGTGTGATACTGACTCGGCCGGTGGACTGTCCTGGACTCACGGGACTGCTTTATCTCCTTTGTAGCATCACTTTGATTTTGGGTGACCAGTACACTCTAGGATTTCATTCTCTCCATTCCATAAGGCCCAAAGAGAAACTCATAATCTTAACAATCCAGTTCCCCTCTGTGGCAGTCACTATGAGAGCAAATTCCTATGTTAGTAAGATCTAGAATAAAAGCCCTAAACTTTCTGTTCTTTCTTAAATTAATTGTATTAATAATTGAATTTTGTAGTCACTAGATAACTTTAAACCTAAGGCCTTTTCTCTGCCCAAAGTAAAATACCTGGCATTTATCCTCCTCTCTGTTCTGGGTTATGTACTATGAAATGGGGTGACATGCTTCAGAGCCTCCACAAGAGAGATTCACTCACCACGAAATATGGTTCTGTGTTCTTTCTAGTATCCTTCTTATAAATCAACAATAAATAGGGATCACAACAATGTCCACGTAGAAGAGCTTTAATTCCCCAGATGGAAAGCTTTACAATTCACCCATTGCTGGTTTATTTTCACTTTAAGTTGGGATAAAAATATAAATCGGCCACACCCCTATTGAAAAGCCACAGGCAGATGTGATAGGGCTCTTGCATTGAATGGTGTGCAGTGGTGAAGTATTTTTATTTTGCACTATCCCCTCTTTGAAAGCTAATACAGTGTGGTCTTACCATTTTTGCAGACAGGACAACATTGCTCTGGTTCATAGACTGGGTTGACACATTCAGGAACTGCGCAGTCTGCTACAACACAGTGAACTTCATTGCTGGGCTCACAGCGACACCATTCACATGGAGAGGGCTAGGAACAAATCTAAAATTAGCCCCTTTTCTCCTATAACTTAATGCTTGCACATTCATATGCTGTCAGAAGACAAAACACCAGTGTTTATTTTGGATTTATTGTATTATCTCCATTTACCATGTGCATGATGGTTCTTCCTTCAGAGAAGACAGCGTGGACACCCAAGCCCAGGGTGGGCTGCGAGGGGGAGCTCAACGCAAGGCTCATAAATGACCTTTCCTACGTCTTCTGACTCTGATTCTCCAAAGAAACATTTGGACAACTAGTATATGTCACCTCTGGGTTATATTTCCCCAGGTGAACGCATAGATCTGCTTGGAACAATCTAGTAAACAGGAATGATACTGGAACATGGGAAATACATTTTGCTACTTGTCATTTTTCTTCCAATGAAAGGAAAAGATCACTGAGAAACAGGGAAATGGTGAAAGGGCATCCTTCCCCTTTGAATGAACTTTTTTTTCAAGCTAACCTTAGACTCTAATTTTTTTTTTTCAGTGAGAGATGTATTTGTGATCCAAACATCCAGATATTGCTTCTTGAAAGAACTAGTGACTACCTTTCATCTTGCCTCTTTGCATTAATGAACTAAAATTGACATAAGTAGCCACTGAAGAGTGAGATTAAAAATAGAATTGAAAGATGACTAATTTAGAAGCAAAAGTAAAAAAAGCAGAAAATATTTGTCTTCATGATACTTACCCATCAAAATTAATCTTGGGCTTTTCCTATTCTTTTTCTTCCTTAGAAACAGTCTACACCATAAAAATAATCTTACCCTTTGAAAGTCCTAGCTCTACTTTCTCATAAAGCAGATTTTTAATTCTGGACAAAATGTGGAGGTCTAAGAAACTGTACAAGTGCTATGCTATGCATGGAATTTCTGAGACCTTGTATAACATTGGCCTCCAGTGGTTTCTCAAATCAAGCCATTTGTTCCCCGAAAATTCTGCTTCCTACTGAATACCCCAGTGCCACAGTTCCTCACTTCCAAAATGTGTTAATGAAAGTCCCTGCCTTTGTTCCACAGTCCAGTCCATACTTCCTGTCAGCATTCCTGTCTTCCTGACCCTGACAAGTTGGGTTCCCTGAGGAAGGCAGTCTGTGGGGGTGGAAATCTTTCAACTAATTACTTTAACGTTCATTTTATCTTTCATTTCTGCTGAAGAATGATAATCGAGCTTTCATTGAGTGATTTTTTACTTTCAAATGTATTAGAAACAAGAGATGGTGCCACAGAATCTGTGGAGAAACTATTGCTATTTCTGAATGCACTTAATGGATAGGTACAATTAACTTCTTTATGCCTTTCAGACTCTAGGATCATCCCAAGGGTTGGTGTTTTTCCTGAACTCCTATATAGAGTATCTCCCTCATCTAATAAAAAGATTTGATACCACAGCACACTTTTTGAGGGGGGATGTCTTCAATGATGAGACAGTGAGAGAGATCAAATTCTTGCTGTTATACTTCTCCTATACTGGCAAGCCGCATTGTGGTATCTTAAAGGCCAAGCAACGCTGTCAGTTGTCACCCTTTCCTAGGTTAATTGCAAAGTATTTCTGCACATCTTTCTGTGGTACATAAAGGACTTGGCTTGCATGTGTGGCCTAATGTGAGCAAAAAGGGGAGCTGTTAATGTAATCGCTCTCACACCCTGGCCTTCCACAGCTGTGACTGTTCTTGCTGATTCTCTTGCCAAAGAAGGGCCTGATAATTCCTGTCAGCTCCTGTGTACAACTCTAGCAAACTGATGCTGCCATCAAAGGCAAATAATTTCTTGAAAAGAACTGTGGTCCTTTGCTGAACGCTTAGATTCTCAGCACAGATGAAGAGCACTAGCGTGATCCACTGAGCATCATGCTAAAAAATTTACCTGCATCAGTTTTTTTTTTCTAATAACTCCATAAAGGAAGATTTATTATTTCCATGCCACAGATGAGGAAACAGGCTGAGGATCAAGAGCTTTTCTAGGACCTATAGGCAGTCAGGGGCAGTTGTGGGGTTTAAACCTGGGCAGCTTAACCAATATACCGTATTGGCACATGATGGTTAGAATTACTGTTCTGTTCACTTCCATCTGCATAGTTCATTAATCAGGGTGTGGTCCACTTCTCTATGCAGGACATATCCAGAGGAATGAAAATGGCAACTGAATAACTGATTTGAAGATGACAGATACTTCCTGCTAAGGAAGGGGATTTTGTTAACTAGGTCATTTGGTGCATAGAGATGATTATAGAACTGTAGCCAAAACTGTAGTAGCCTAGAGTTAGGTTGTTTCCAGGAGACCAGAGTACCCTTAACACTCAGAGTCTGGTAATGTGCTCATCTAGGAAAAGTGCTAGGAGGTGCTTTACTAAGACCACCAGGAATCTGCCTGAGGCTGGGGACATTGGAAGCTGGTGTACTGAAGGTCTGAGGAATACTCAAGAGATGAGAACACAAGTCACTAATGATTAAAGAATATCTGAATTTTGAAGGGATGTGAGAGAAATGTAAGTTAGAAAAATAAACGTAGAAGCTAGCTAGCAGCCGATTCTGAAACTTCCCTTTCCTCTCCATGGCCTAGCCTCTCTTCAGACATACTGCTTTCTCCTTAGTGTTCATTAAACGTCTTTGCAAATTTTTTTTTTAGCTCATTTATTTTCATCTCCAGTCCATGTGCCTCCTCCACGCTAAACACTCGATCAAATTTCATTCACTGTCCTCAGGATTAATGCCCCTCTGTCCTGATCCTTTCCAACCTTTCCATGCTCTTCCTTTCAGAGCTCACCAGTCAGGCACCTGCCTGTTCTCCTGTCTGGCTTGACTTCCGCTACTGCCCCAGCTTTCTCCTGCACTTCTGAAAAGATAGTGCTTCAATAGAGAGAAGTTTCTAGATGTAAGCAGTATGCTACTTTGACAGTGATGTCCAGACATTAAAAATCTGTCCCTCTATATAGCATAAAATTCTGAAAGGTTGGTGATTTGACTAAATCTTTACATCTTAAGCAATGAGCTGGCTACAAATTTCCTTTTATCAGACTTTTCAATGTGAATACTATAGATTAAATCTGAAAATGTCCTTGTAAAACCAAAGATTAAACAATAAAGCTCTCCTTAGAGGAACAGTGAATACTGGAACAAGGACTGGAAAAAAAAATTTCTCACTAGCTTTTTCTAGAAGAACATCTAAAATTATTACTAGGACATTGGGTAAAATCTCTCTAGTTAGCGATTGGGTAAAATGATCAAATGACAATACCCTAAAATTATATCTAACAATACTTTTTCTGAGAAAATGCCAATATTTTATTTCTATAAAAGCTCTGGAAAATCACATTCATTATATATACCTTTACTTAAATTTGATATTATGGTTAGAGGTCAAATTTGTTTGCTAATATATCTACTAGATGATCTCAGTATTATGTATGTTGTAAGTCTATTGCACCTTCTGCTAAGCGATTTTGAATAGCCACTGTGGAACTCTGTTTAAGTAGAGGTTGTCTATATTTTATCTGTAGTTTCTGCCAATTGTGTGAATATGTTCACATGGCAAATCCAAGTGTTCCAGTGGTTCCAAATTTCAAAGTGGGGTACCTGAGATAAATGTAGATGCAGATATATAAATATCAGGAATAAGTAATAAACTTATAATAAGTGTTTCATAGGTTAAATGGGGTCTCTTTCTTAAATATTGGTTTAGGTGATTAGACTCCAATTTGTTCTTGTTGGTAGTAGAATGACAACTTGGCAATACACAATGCTTTCAAAATGCCTAATTTTTAAAGATCTTAAAGCTGAAATACCAATGTTATTGTCTGAAATAATTTTTGAAAATTGGTAGCAGTGTGTGTTTGTGAGGGGCTACTTAAATCCTAGAAACAATGGAACATGCTGTGGTGATTTTTTTTTTTAACCGAGGGAAACCTCCTAAAAATATGTAGCTTATATGGCCAAAATAACTGAATAGCTACAGAAAAACTGCTAGAGTTGTGTTGTTCTGTGTGAGAGTTTGGAAGCCAATGTGGTTAGATTTAACAGGTTACTGGGACACATAATTGCAGAATGGTTGCAAGGGATTTTCCATATATTTTAGAAAATGCATTTGTGTTCTGAATACATGGAGACTTATCCATACCCAAGGAAGGCTGGGATGCCTGGTCGACATAACAATACCTCATGGCATCATTATTTACGTGGTGGCTCTTAAGGCCTTTGTTGAGAGTTCCAGGAGGAAATAGTCACCATCTTGGGAAGTGCTACATGTACTGAGACATACACAGTTTATTGTTTTAGTTTGGTGAAGTTGAAGATGATAATCTTATAGGCTGACAGGTTCTACCCTAGGAAATTAGAAAAAAAAATTAGTTGGATTTGTTTGCATCACTGTGGTATCAGGATTCAAAGCAAGTTATGTCATCACAGTATTTGAATTCTAGTCCTAGATGATTTACTTACTAGTTGTGAATCCCAGGGAAATTACATTACATTCCACCGTCATTTCTTAATCTATATAATGGGACTCAGAATATTACCAATATAGAGTTGTTATAAAGCATATAAACACTGTTGTTTACTTGTGCTCTTGGCTAGTTATGGCCTTCTGAAAAATATTCCAAAAGGTATAAAATTGGAAATACAAAATTACATTTGAAAGCCTATTTCTCTCAGTTCAAAATGAAGTATGATCTCAGTGGTGGTTGCAATAAAGTTTTATAAGACTTGGTTTGGCAGGGGGATTTGTGAACTAATAGAATTAATTATAATTATATATAATTAAATTACATGAATATAATATATGAATATTAAACATTAAAATACAAATTATATTAGAGTTAATCATAATTATCTATAATTAAATCATTAATCAGAAACATACTGAAGAAAAAATGTTATTAGCAGCCTCTAGATAAAGAGTAATTATGAATGGTTAAAATAAGAATTATAAGAATTATAACTATCTCAGAAAAAAGCAACAAATCCATTTTCTTTTCCTGAACTCTTAGATG